AAACGTTCTATTGCATTATGGGGAACGTGAAAGTCGCCGATACCTATACTATTTCTCTTTTGTAAACGGTCGTTGCCACTTGCACATGGCAGCGATCGTTTACAAAAGGGGCAACTGCGTCGTCGATTCTCGACAAATAGGCCACTTGCACTAAGAAGTCACGTGACCAATGCTTCCTTTAAACAATGACTTGGAATCTTGCTGATGCCAAAAATTGACAGAGCACATAAAAATTATCTTACACGCAAAATTTGAGAGGAAACGCATTTAAGGGAGATATCTTATGGCACTTTGATTTTTCAACAAAGTAGTATGATTTGTATTGGCCGCCGTGTTGGAGGGCATACTCTTGCCCTCCAACATGGCGGGCAAAACTTCTCTCTGCTTATATCTTGTTAAACGTTTGATAGTTACCCGCAGATGTGCTGTAAACGTTACCACATCATCTTTTCAACATTTTCCTTGAAGTTTAAGAGCAAGATTTGTCAGTGTTCAGAAAGAGATAATTCATAATTTCAAAAAATCACATTTTGGTCACTTGACCATTTACGAACTTACTCATTTTAAGAAAATAGTGGGGGTTTGAAAACCAAATCACTATTACTTTGCTAAGATATGACCCACTAATGGTTTTTCGAAAGCAAACTCATATAACTTTCACTTTCATTAAAAAAGATGTCACGTGACCTCTTAGTGCAAATGGCCTATTTGAGAGCAGAGTAGATCTAGCAATTGTGGAAAACATTTTGTCTCCTACACTTTCTTTAATGTTATATATGCAAATGTTTATGTTTTGTTTTTGTTCTCACGGCTTTTAACAATTGTTTGGTTCCAAGCAAGTGTTTTAATTTGTCTTTGTATTTATTGAACAAAAAGTGGACGCTGGCGATTGTCTGGGAGCTCATAATGCTAAGCGTGCTCTTCATGGAGCACAGCCTTTGACCTGGAGCTCAACACTTGCTCAGGAGGCTAAGGAGTGGGCTGAAACACTGATAGAAAACGGAAAGTTTGAACACGATAACACTGATGATGGGGAAAATCTGTTTGGAGGGACGGCCTCAGAACATTACACATGTGTTGACGCCGTGAAATCCTGGTAGGTGGTTTACGATAGTCAGACTCTCTCTCTTTTGACTCATTATCAAGCCCCGTGCAAACATTGTTGGTTAACAAATCCCAACATTGTTGGGCCAACAATGTTCTTAGTTGTTGCCGGCGTACGTCTGCACGTCAGAGCCTTAAGCCATTTCAGAGTTGCAAAACCTCCACTTTCAATGCCAAGGTTTGCGAAACGTTTTATGTGAAAAATAATGAGTTTTATATGAGAAAATTAATAATTGTGAAAACAAAGACTTTCCATTAACCTTCCCTTTGAGGAGCAGTTTTCGGGCAACTCGGGGATGAGTGGCTATTAGGAGCTAGGGAAGATTGTCACTGTCGCGTAATTTTTACGTGCGTACGCGAATGAAATTTACTTGCATAAATAAAACAGCTGAGGCGATGTATGAAACGCCGCGCGTAAACGTAAAAGCTAAGCGATATGTTTACGCGTGACCTGCCATACATTGCCTCTATTTTATTTACGCGCGTAAAACAACGTGCGCACACAGGTAAAAATTATGCCACGGCGGAAATCCACCTTTATACATTAAAACGATCCTCGCAGACCTACACCATTTACAGGAGTTTGAAGTAGAATTCCTTGATAATGAACCGATCTAGCAACTTCCACGTAACAGGTTTGATTAAGTAGCACAAAACAACAATTCTGCAGCTACAATCTGAATATGATCTGAACTCCTGGTTCAGATCATACCTGACTGATCGGAAGCAAACTACGGAAGTTAATAATGTTGTGTCTGAGGCTGAAACGACCTTGTGCGGCGTGCCACAAGGCTCAGTCCTCGGACCACTCTTATTCCTACTGTACATCAATGATATTTACAAGTCCTCTTCGTTATTTGCCTTTTATCTGTTTGCTGACGATACTAGTATAATACTTGCAAATAACAACCTAAAGGAACTCGAAACACTTGTTAATCGCGAGCTTGGCAACGTCAACGAATGGCTAAAGGCCAACAAACTGTCCTTGAACATAAAAAAATCAAATTTTGTAATCTTTCGTCCCCGACAAAAGAATATGCCCTTCATACCTAGGATTAGAATTTTTTTGACTCCGTGACTAACACCTACGCAAACCTTGAAATGAAAGATTATGTAAAATACCTTGGCTTAATGATTGATTCAAATCTTTCATGGAAATACCACATCGAATCTGTCTGTCACAAAATCAGCAAGTCGATAGGAATTATAGCTAAAATTCGACATTATGTCCCGCGTCGTGTTTTACTTTCAGTTTACAACTCATTAATTGTCCCTTACTTGACTTAAGGTATTTGTGGTTGGGGAAATTGTGCCTTGACATTTCAACGAAAGATCGTAACTCTACAAAAACGGGCCTTACGTCTCATTTACTTCAGTAAGTCTAAGGAACACGCCGTACCCTTCTTTCTCAAATCAAATTGCCTTCTCCTGCCTAGCATATTTTTCAGAGATTGTAGCTATTTATTGTATGATATCAACAGACAGACAGCACCAGTTAGTATTCTCAATCAGTTCGTTAAAACAAGTCAGATTCATAACTACAGAACAAGATCTGTCTCTAGCGACTCGTTTTATGTTAAGTTCCCTAGAACCGATAAAATGTATGCCTTTTTCACGAGAATCGGTGCCCAAATTTGGAACTCTATTCCGTATTCGATTAAAATACTTAAACGTTCGTCCTTTCGTAAAAAAATAAAGGAATTATTACTAAATTTTTTGCGGTCAGAAGATGATTATGTCGAAGTCTCCCGTCTTATTAAGTTATTTAATACTTTAGTTAACCTCTCTTCGTAATCGTTATGTACATGCCTTGTTTTTTGTTTTTTGTTTTATGTTAGTTTAAACTCTATTTACTGTATTGTAGTGTCTTCACTGTTATTTAGTCCATCTATATATAATTCTTGTTTTGTAATATGTCTTCAGCTCCCCCCGCCTCGATTAGTTCATAAGCTATTTGCGGGTGGGAAAGTAATGTAATTAGTTATTTTCCAATTTTCAATAAAATTTGTTGTTGTTGTTGTTGTTGTAGCTACTTTTCCTCTCCGTCCTTAACATCACACGTCATCTGCACTGTGCCCATACTACTAGAGGCACAGAACCCCGGGATACGGCCACCACTATAAATGCCGGCAATCGGCGTTGCTGTTAGGGAGTTTATTTAAGGCTATGTTCATACTATACCGCATACCTTTTCGCGTCGACACGAAAAACTTTCCGGTATACTATCAACACCTGTTCTGCTTGCAGCCCGCCTTTTCTCTCAAAATCCGTCTAGGTCTTATCTCAGCCAGCACGATTGCAAACCACGACGTTATGTTACAATAGAACGTGATAATAAAAAAAACAAGCTTTCAAAACGTTCTTCTTTGAGCTGGTACTGAAATGGTTACAAGCACAAGATGAGGCGCCTCCCCTTTTGTTGCACAAATTTAGTGACGTTATCAACATTGACATCTTTGTGTTTATGTATAATGTAAAATCGCCAAGGATGAAAGTCGCTCATCTGTCATCGTATTACGTAGAGAAGTATTTATTCTTTTCCCCAGTCTCACTCCTTTTTTGCATGAATACAAAATGTATTGTCACGACACTACAAATGTCTTTTACTTATAACAAAAAGCCTTTAAAAAAATCCTACTAATTTCTCAAGTACGCACGTGCGTATTTGCGTAAAGGACGCTACGCCAGTGGCTAAGTGTTATAAGCCTCGGCCTTCGGCTCGGCTGATTACCCCGACCTTGATTATTCCTGATATCAAGTTCAATCAAGTTCAAGTTCTAGTTCAAGTTTATTTATTAATTACGGATATGTCTAGTCGATTTTTTGAAAACCAACCTAACGAAATTTGCAGTCATTTGCGTGACAAAGCGTCAAAAGGCACGTTTCTTAAGCCCGAGAAGCTCCAAAATCATAGTAACGAAGAAAAAGGAAAGGAGAAAAAGAAAGAGCGAGGAGAAGGAAAGGAGGAGAAGAAAGAAAAAAGCAGTGGTTGCACTCTTAGTTTTAGGCCAGAAAAAACTGTTGGACGCAAAAGGTCTACTTGGCGATAACGTTATCAAAAATCCGGCTAGTTATAATATATAAAAAACTATTACAATCAAATCTGACTGACCTGCAGGTAACTAAAACTAATCGAGGCGGGTCAGTCTCCAAGTTTTAAAATATTACAGATTTCAAAAAAAGAGATTACGTATTTTGTCACCGGTACGTTTTACAGCCGTTTCGCCTAAAGATAAGACCATAGGGCTGGTTAAGTGAGGTGTTATCAGTGCATTGTAAATGTTCACAAAAACAGAAGAAAATACAAATTGTCTTAGCTTAGATAGCATACCAATCGCTTTACTTATCTTGGTGGCAACTGTGACAATATGTGTTCTCTAGGAAAGATTCTCATTTATTAAGACTCCTAAATATTTCATGCAATCTTTTCCCTCAAGATTTCCACTTTTATTGGTTTCATTATCATAAATAGAAATTCGAGGGGGATTATTTTTTGTTGTTGTTGATAGGACCGAAAAATGACATAATTATATTTTTTAGCATTTAATGTTAACTTCTTTGCGTTGAGCCAATCGTATAATTTTTGTAATTAAATATTTACTATGATTTACTGTCAATTCAATGGATTTCAAGTTTTTGTCAGCGTAAAGGATGTTAGTATCATCCGCAAAAAGAAGGAAATTAAATTTTTTAGAGCAAAAATGAACATCATTTATGTAAAGTATGACAAAAACCGAAACTAATAATTGTTTTATAATACATTGTTTTGAACTAAATAACGACAAACTCGGCACCGTCCGGCCGTCGCACGGAACCGATTTGACATTGCTCAGGCTTGAAAATCATGCATTGCACGCGCAACCTACAGATTAGTGAGTTATCTGCTGGCAGATAACTATCTAATCCGTAGGTTGCGCTGATTTCCAAAATTAGCTGTAAGATATTAGCCAATGAGAAGATAGATAGTGAGTACAATGTGTAATACACAAAGTAATGTGCTGAAAGTGTAAAGTTGTTGTTTTGCCTAATAAATCTCGTTACTCCTTTGACGTTTCGTTACCGTCGCCTTCGTGGCATGGAGGAAGAAAGATCCTAGCGCCAAGAAGATTCTAGAAGTCGGAACAACTTTTCGCTAGGTTTACATGCAGAAATTTCGGTTCGTTTTGTTGATAGATGGCGGACGAAAATAACAAACATGTAATTTATTAATACTATATATACCATCCTAACCTATTCCCAAAACTGCTTTGATTTTTTGTGCAGGTATAGCGAAGAGCCTGACTACCCTTACAACAACCCACCAACTACAAGAGAAGAGTTTAATGTCACCCCGCAGTTTGGTCACTTCACACAGGTTTGCGGTTTTTCTTTATTAATTGCAGTTCTTGCTAATCTTCCCTCTTTTGAAACACATTAAAAATTGGGTCTTATGATAATTATTGATTTTCGAAAAGTGTTACCTTATTAGGTAGGATTGATACAAGCTGCTGCACAAGCGCCAACGGGTGCAGAATGCTCGACGCTTTGATCACATCACTCCCTCCCAATTTAGCCTCCACTGGCTGCTAATTCGCCACTTTAGAAACGAAAAGGGACCTGGGGCGAGTCAACTTTTTCAAAGGGAAAAACAGCCAATAGCTGACCGGCTCGTCACCAGTAGCGATCCCAGAAACAATTGGGGCAAGCATTTCGGCTCCAGTTCTCTTCTCGTTTCTAAAGTGGCGAGGAAGAATAAGACACAGAATCCAGTTTAAAAATCTTACTTATCACCTATAAAGCCTTAAATGGACTTGCTCCTGCATCTATACTGAACAAAACAGTTAAAAAAAAAAAAACTAAATCTCTAAATACAACCTAGAGTCTCCTGATGACAAACTCCTACTTCAGCATCCCAACTCTCGCTACTCCGGTGGTGACCGTTCATTTACCGCCATGGCACCAAAAATATGGGACGATCTACCAGGGGTTATCCGCAATGCCATAAATGTTGTCGCCGTTAGACGCCTACTGAAAACTCATCCATTCAGCTAAGGAGGCACATCGCTGTTAGAAGATTAAACTTATTTTAAAAAAACCGAGTACCCTTTGTACCTCCGTGGGTTAAATATATATATATATAATATATATATATATATATTATTTTTTGCAAATGCGTTTTTTGCTTTGTTTCTTTCTTTCTTTGCTATAGATTGTTTGGAAGGGTACTCATCAGGTTGGTGCGGCTCTTGCAACAAAGAAATTAGAATATGGTTACATTAAAACCATAGTAGTGGCCCGTTATTCCCCGCCAGGAAACATCCTGGGACAATTTCCTAATAACGTGTTACCTAAACAGTGAGGAGGTACTGAAAAGTAAGTTTGCTTCGTCCAGATTAATTCAAAACAAAGAATTCAAATAGTTTGAGGATTTATCTTTTTGACCATTTTTACAGTTTGGTACCCACGCTACGAAGGGAGAGAAACCACTGCGAGCATCCATCTGCTTCTTTGATCGAGCCGCCGTCCAGGGCTGTGGACGAATAAATTAACTTTAAACATGTAAATCCTGTTTGAAAGCAAGTTTAGGTTCTGGCGCATTTGCTTACGCTTACAATTGCTGCCTTAACGCGAGCCTGCTGTGGATATTCAGTATTTCTTTGGATTATTTATTCCTATGTACTTACTTGTCAAATGTAGGCGAACCCAAATGGAGTTGAATTCCAAGGGACCATATCCAAGTTCAAGAGCGAAAAGAAGAATAAATTTCGTCGTTGCTTGTTTACGTTATCCATAAAACGCAAAATTAGGCATCTTCACGTCGTAGTCGTGCAAAAACGGCAAAGAAATGCAAAAATAAAAGCATGATGCGCGTGCAAACTTGTTGTTTTGCTCATTAAACCTATTGTTTTGTTGAAGTTCTCGTTGCCGTCTTGTCGTTGGATATTCGTAGTCATCACATGAACGCGCATGCGCAATGGAAAAGCAAACGGTTGCTCGCAGTGGTTTCTTTCCCATCAAAGCGTAGCGTCCGGCCTGGAGAAACCTTTGCTCGCAGGGTAACAGTTCGGGGACCTTAGTCAGCACTTGATACTGGTTAGCGGTTATTTTTTAGTTCGTGCCGCGCGTCATGCCCTTTAATTGAGCAATTTAACCAGCATCAGAAGCAAGCGCAACGATATAGAGCGGCCTTCCTCACAGCGCCTAGGAAAAGGAGGCGGTCTCTTTTCCTTTGAGATTTTTTTTAATAGGCTAGCTTGACAATCCTTAAAATTTGATGACCTGAAACTGAAGCTAGGTACTGTTTTGCAATGAAAGATTATTATAAGAATCACCTTTGCGGTAAACAGCAAACGTGAGTGATCCAATTAGAAGTACAAGTTTTCAGGCTTTGGTTTCATCAGTTCTTCGGCTTCAATTGGTCTTAGTTTTAGCTCAGAAATCCTTGCTTGGCACAGGAACAGTTGACTCGAATGTAATGATAATTAATAAATTTATTTTAAATATAATCAACTCTTATTTAACGAACACCTCTATAATCTATAAGACGGACACCTTGCTAAAACGTTACGAACATTTAGAGTTAGTCCCTGCCTTTCGCATTACTCCTTTTAGGTGTCTCTTTATAAGGCGTTCATCTCTCTTAAAGACAAACACATAGTAACCACCCCAAAGGTGTCCGTCCTAGAAGGAGTTGATTGTATTGACATTGGTCTTTTAAAACTAAATGCTTTTTATTATTATTATTATTTCATGCAGATCAAGCAGTTTCCAAGGCTGTCGTTGATTACTTGTAGTGGAGGAGATTTCAAACCATTAATAAAAGGGATTCATTAAAATATCATGGTTATTTCCAAAAACATGACGACGCTGTGTGATTGCATTGTGTTGCCTTGTAAAGTTTTGTTGTTTCCCTCCTGTGCATCGGTAGTCATTACAAGCATGACAGCACCCCGCGGAGGTCGGGGTGGAAGGTAAAACACCATACCCTGTCCAGCGGCATATCCCTGAATAGGCCATTCAAGGGAGTACCCCCCACCCCCCCAAGTGCACCAACCATAGACCACTAGTACACCAGCATGATTAATATCCCGCAAGCTAGGCTTTTGATACTTCTTCGTTTCTACCTGCTCGAAGCTAAAACATAACATTATTCCTTCGCCTTATTCAAAAGAGATCTGAAAACTTTGATGAAACACTGAAGCGAAAGGAGTAAAACATCCGATAACGAGCAATAATCTAGGTGGCTTCTGAAGAGCCTGAACCTATTGACCTTTGAGCAACTCCAACTGCCGTGGTTACTTTCCAAACGATTTCGAACAAATTTCGACCAAATTTCCAAATTTCATTCTCTCAACGTTTTGAGAAATAAATAGTATCATGTGAATGTACAGGCAGAGAGCTTTCATTTGAATGGTCACATCATAGGATTTCGTCCACAGACTCAAAAGTTAGAGTCACCTTACAAAACTCTATCAAACACTCTGGCCGTGAAAGGGTTATTTCTGTATACGTACAGCCAAAAAGAGGCTTTTAGGGTCGGTATGCAACAGGTATATGCGTATGCTACAAACGAAGCCAACCTTTATTTTTAAGGAAGGACAGCTTCAGAAGAATATCACCTGATGTCAATAGAACGTAAAGAAGCCTACTTACCCGTCTTATTTAAGTAGGATGCAACAAACTCTTTGACCCCCTTTTTCAAAGGTCAAGACAAATCTTTGAACGCACGAAAACTTGCGCAGATTTAGTTTTCACGGGATCCGAAGAACCGTGCAGGAATTTACTGAACTATAAACTGCATTTCACTAAAACGCGTGGATAGTGATTTTAACTTCAAAAACGTCTTCCCTAAGATTGTTTTGAATTAAGGGCAAAGAAACTATCTGAGTTCGACGATCGTTGTTGTAACTTTCTCGATTGCCATGATCATTGATGAGTTGTTTTCATCTAAGCTCCGCGATCGCTAAACATTCGATATTTCATGCGCCATCAAGGTGATCGGAATGTTCGTAGCAATCACACCCGGGGGAGGGTACACCCTATATGGAGAGGCTCCGTCCCCGATTCAGGCTTAAGGTATATGAAAGAGAAGGGATTTCACGACTTGTATTTCATGCCATGAAAGTGTAGGGTAATCTGTCGACATGTATTTAAACCCTTAAGGCTTTCAAGTAACCTTTTTCGAACGGTCATGCAATAGGATAGGATAGGATAGGGTAAGTGCTTTATTATCAACAGAGCGCCTACAGACACATGTGTTTGCAACGATAACAAAGATTTTCGTGCAATAATTACAGAGGTGTACATTTGTAAAATTTATACAACTATTAAACAAGGTTATATTTAACGCGTCTATCTCTTTCGCGGAAGCGATCATATACGTATTTAGCCACAATTTTTTGCGTTTTCTCTCCTTGCTTCATACTTATCAACGTTGCAAAGGCAGAGCTTGGAGTCATAGAGTCAAGAATAAGATTAGTTTCCTTTTTTAGCGTATTGAACAGCTCTCTCCTAGGATCCCTATGGGCTATGCAATTCATCAAAAAATGCTGCTCGTCTTCTATTCCAGTTTTACATAATGGACAGATTGTTTGGTCTGGTGGTTGATAGGGTTTAACGTATCGTCCAGTTCCAATTGCTAGTTTGTGGTTGCTTAATCTTAGCTTTGTGATTGCTACTCTATGATTGATGTTTCTTACATTTGTGAGGTAATTTTCGTAGTCATGGGTAAGTTTAAATTTCCTAAAAGTTCTTAGTTTCTTTTTTTGATGCGGGTCCTTTCGTTCATCATTGTGTATTTCGCTAATCCATGTTTGCTGTTCTATGTCTAAGATTCTCTGTCGTATATAGTTCATGATTGCGGGAGTGTTCGTTTTCGCTGACATGACCATATGTCGCCAAGACCTACGAGATTTAAAAGTCGTTTTAATTTGCTTGACCATATTTCCTTTTTATCTTGCCCAATTTGGTCTGTAAATGCTATTCCAGAGAGTTTATTTTGGTGCTCCGGCTCACAAAATTTCAGCCAATATTTAATGGCTCTGCACTTTGTCTTCGTTCGCATTGGGAAACGGCCTACCTCCGATCTGCACGCATTTGAGCTACAGAATTTGTTAACTCCCAATAGCCACCTAATGAACTTCGTTTGAACAAACTCAATTAGATCATTTTCTAGCTTTCCGTCGTGATCGACCCCCCAGACCTCGCTTCCGTAGGTGAGTATTGGGGAAATAATCGTGTCAAAAATTTTCATTGTGAGCTGTACATCGTCTCTGAAATGGTCGCCCATTTCCTTCCTGAGTTTGTACAAAGCTTTAAGGGCAACCTTCTTTATTTCCTGTTTGGCGTACGTGAAGGTCCCATAAGTACTAAATTGTAGGCTAAGATATTTGTAATTGCTAACATTGTCAAGTTTACTGCCTCTAGAGTATAACGCGTGCTTATTCATGGTTCTCCCGCAGTTATTAAAAATTAGTGTTCAGAGGGGCCACTTTTGTTTCTTTCTGGAAAAAAAATTACTGTTACAGTGAACTTTTTACTGTTAGTGTTTAAATGCAACAGTTTCATGTTACAGAACCAAAAATCGAAGTGTTTAGTGTTATCGAGGTACCCCCGTTCAGAGCCTTTTGAAAGATTAAACTAAAAGAACTAGACCAGACGTGGGGAAGCCAAGGATCAAGAAAAAAGGTTTCGTCGGGGTGACGGGATGTAAAGCTACGTGACGGACGCAACAACTCTCATCGTTGTTGGGCCAACATTGTTGCGTCCGTGAAATCAGTGATGTGCAGACGGATGCAACAGCTCCAAACAATGTTGAGACCTGCAGTGCATCGTGGGAAGGATATAACCTTGGCCTATAAGGCTTCGTAAACTTGAAGGAAGCAACGTGTAATACGTCTGCGTGACCCAAACAATGTTGGAAGAGCTGTGCAAACAGATCCAACATTGTTACACTACTCTTCGGCGATCACGGAACAAAAGAAATGTTGGGACATAGTTATTAGAGGAGACTGGTTATGAAAAGCGGCGATCACGGAACAAAACCGTGAAAGTGTTTTGGGAAATTGTTGGAATTTAATGAAACGTTTTTATTGGTCAATACAATCAAAATGATAGGAATTCTTTTGAACATTGACCGGTTTTTCAAACTTTTGGGAGTTGTTGGAAAGCGACAAACAACAACTCCAGGCAACAGGCAACACTTAAAGATACGCAAAACATGCGACAGGGTGTGCAAACTGACTCAACATGTAACATCTAAAAATGTTGAGAATTGTTGGCCAACGTAGTGTCCGTTTGCACGGGGCTTAAGGAACCCTATTTACTATTCTCCTCCTCGAGCTTAAAAAATTACTATCCATTAGCAGTCACGGTAGTTGACGTAAATTAAATTTAATGTTACGTCAAGATCGGTGAATTATCACTCCTTAGAGAGCGAAAAATTAAAGAAGAAAAATAAATGATCAATCTAAAAGGGCTAAATTGATAATAAAAGGTGGTGATTAAGATGAACTTGCGTTACGTTTAATTTTGAAATTCAATATTATTCGTGCAAGATATATTTTGATCCGATATCTCGAGATATCCACATCTAGAATAGAAAATGTTTCGGCTACCCGCATATATCCTGCCTCAAAGTATCCTCTTTAGTTGTGGATGACGACAGAAAGCTAAGGTTTTATCTGAGAGCAATATCCAAAGTGATTCCTTTTACTATTCATTTTACTAAAGATCCACTTTTTCCTGAACGCTTGTTTATATGTTCGGCGTCGACAAATAAGAGTCGTCTTCGCAGTGAGTTGGGCATCAATATAGATGGAACGTAGCAAAACACAGGTAAATACCTTTCGCGTTTGTGTAATATATTATTTGACTGCTAAAATAATATGATTCTACTAGCAACAGGTTTGTAAGATTATTATAGCTACAGCCTACAGCTATAGTAGCGAGCACAAAAAATGTGTAATGAACCGGTAGTATTGCCATCATGAATTCATACAGATTCAACTTTTCTGTAAGTGTCACTATTGCCCCTGGGTTTTCTATAAACAAACGTTTATCACGGCTGATTTTATTGTAATTTCTCCCTTATTAGCGTTTTGTTTCTCGCTAGGGTAGAATTTTGAATCTGTATGTGTTCGCCTTTTTCTACCGATTCCCGGGGCATAGCTACTCTTTCTATTTTAAACAAAATATCAATGTACATGTGGCGGATATAAAGTATTTTATAGCTTAACGGCAGGCAAAAATAGTAAGCGTGAACATTCTTTAAAATGCGGAGAAATCTATTTTGTTCGAATGTACAGCGATCGATCGAGATGCTTGAACAGGTCGAACAGGTTTCAATATAAAGCCAATGAACACTGCGTTAATGTTGCAGCGGACTCGCTCGTCCTTTTCTCTCCTCAACCATCAGGGGCACCCAACGGCAATTTTCGGGAAAATATCTGTTCGGAAGGCGATTTGAGATCTAGAATTTTCGGAGCATTTGTTGTAACATTTCTTGCTTGCCTGCCTCTCCTAGGATTTTCGAACATCTACAAAATGGTATAATTACTCATTTTTAACGGATTTTGACCCTAAAAAAGGCCACCTAGAATTTTCGGGAGCCTTTTCCTGGCTGAAATTTTCGAGAAGGTAAGTTTTTATCCCTATAATTTTCGGATCACTAGATATTCAGCTAGGAAATCCGAACAGATGAAAAGTTTTTAGGGGATAAAAATATGCCTATATCTACCGTTTGAATACTAAAATACGTTCAACAATGCTATGTTAAGTGGTTTTGAACTATATCCTCGTTGGGTGCCCCTCAACCATTATTATCAGTGGGCTAAGTTGGTTGGCTTTGATTAGTTTTAAACTAATTTTTCTGCCCTTTTTTTACCATAAAAATTAATTGCTCTCTCATTTCCGATAATCTTATTATGTTTTTTGCAAATTCTTTTGTGACTCAATTATTACCAGTGATATCTTCCAGTTCCAACCCAACATTCAAACTAATCAATCAATCAGTTTCATGAACAATAAACTGCCGAACCGGCCATGACACTTCTCGTGGCCTCGGGCCAGGGTTAGACAACTTTGTCCTACTAACCTGCCGAGCAAAGAATATATTATTTTTCACTTTGTTTAATTTTTTCAATTTTTCAAAGAAAATGTACAACTTCTTCATTGGTATAGCCATCTTTATGTGTCAGTTCCATGGAGCCAAATTTATCCCTGGTAGGTATTTTACTCCTTTCTGTGTTAATCACTCAGAAAGTTTGAGTAAATGTTTTCATACTTTAAATCTATTACCGAAAAAATTATGCACAGTTTTACACAAGGTTGGTATGATGGCATCTTTGATTGGCTGGCTTCTCACTATTCCTGAGATTCGCTCGTGTCTAGTATAAGGTGGCCATGTTTTCATTCCTTGATATTAATCTTGTTCCTGTCTCATTCAAGTACTTTGCTCTTGAAGGCAATCACGTAGACACGAAATAAAATGAGTACCAATCTGTTCAGCATTTTACCAAAATTCATGACTTTTCACACTGTTTTCAAGATGGAATAGGGTGGCAGAATAGCATGACAGATTAAAATTACAACATTTAATAATAAAGCTTTTTTTTTTTAAAGTTCTAACAAGTTTACCTCTTAAATGAAAATTGATTTCATTACCGTATCACCATCGTATTAAGTTTTAAAATTACACGAGAATAACGTTTTTTATTTTTTTTTCTGTGAGGAAGCGAAAAAGATCAAAAGGAACCACAAGGTTCTATCTTATTACGTAGCATATTGGCTCCGTAAGGATCTTGAGGGGGTACTTCGATGAGCAAAGTAAAAAGAGATGTAAACCAATTCTTCTATCCACTGTGACGAATTATAAGGAGGAAAAACATGAAGAGTCTTCAGTTGTTTCATTGAGAAGACGAATTATAAAAAAATATTTAAATATCTCAAGAGGAGCCCAACGTAATTTTGGGGGTATTTTCAGGGTTTTGTTCGGTTTCAGGTAATTCAGTTGAATGATTATTTCTTTCCTTCTTTGCCTTTGCTATTTCACGACTTTGAGTATGTGTTTTCGACCGGTGATCAAGGATAAGCTAATTAAGGTTAAAGGGGCGGGAATTACATGCTGGCCCTGATAAGGTGCCGGCAATTGAAAGAACCTGCGGGTAACGTAGCTCAGCGCATGTACTGTTCCAAAAACGGGCATGAGTCAGTTGGTCGCGTGGCTCATTAGGAACTAAGCAAGAAATTAATCACACAAAAAAATGCGGTGAGAAAAGGTGCGAAAAGTTGGGATTGAGAAATGAATAATGCAGTGGGATTTTTAGATAGGTCTCAACCCGAGACCTCAGACTTCTAACACGGCCCTTCTAAAGATATTTTCCTATCAAAGAAATGCAGATAAAAGCATTTCGCTGGAATTCCACGCTGCTATCGACAATACGTTAACGTCTTTGAAACTGATCCCAATGCCCCAACTACCGGTGGCAAAACTTTCGTCTTTGCATGTATTCCAACCCGATCTTTTCCTTGTTTTTAATAACCTCACTCAAGCCCCCATGCAAGTGTTCCAGGATTCTTCTTTTAGAGTACTTTTATTTCAGCACTTTTTCAATTTTATACTTGTTCAAAGAGAGTTATTGAATTCCCTTCTTAGTGTGCAGACAAGACCAGATCGAGAAATATTCGGCTCAGTGTGCGACTTACCTGAAGTACGGTTTCTGTACGGCTGCTAACATGAGACACTTTATAGAGCAGAATTGCCCTGTTACCTGTAGAGTCTGTCAAGGTAAGTTATAGACAAATTCAAAATTTACTGAAACCGACATCCTCTGGCCACCATTTTGTCTCCCAAAAACAAATCTTGACAAAAAGATTTTTCACTGATCTTTTTTCTTTAAAATCCTGTTGTTCGAAAGTGGAAATTGGCCACCTAGCTGGTCAATTTTTCAGGTACGACAAGAAAAGGTAGGCGCTGCTCTTGTTGGCGATTTGTCGCAACATTTTAAATGTTTGAACAATCACTTTTCACATTATTTCTGACTGCTGACGCAAGGAAACGTTCCCGGGTTCCCGGATATGTCGCAGCATTCTTCTTGCGATACGTTGTGACGTATCCTCATGATCATCGTGCCATTTGCAAACGCACGTTTGAAGAGGCGCGTCGTCGAGGCTGGTGGACGTTGGGGCAAAAAGATGATAAGTATGTGACTCAGGTAGTGCAAGACTTGTTCTGTTCTGGTGCAATGCAATAAAAAAGATTATTATTCATTCAAAATATTTCCCCGATTCTAATTGGCTAAAAGCACACGTTTAATTCACCATAACCAGTTTCTGATGACCAAATTTGGAAGAATATTGTGTTTAGCGAGGAAATGACGTCAAAAATGCAGCGTTCTTACACGTTAATGCATTGTTAACCGAGAAGACCTGGGGACGAAGTTGAGTTGTTTTCGTTGTGAACTTGAAAAATGGCGGGCATTTCACGCGTTTCAAGAGTGAGAGCTAGGCGAAAAAAGTAGCTAAAAACACGGCAAGAACAACAAGAAGACAACTCGAAGGGCGACATCTGCTATTTGGGGAGTATTTGCGTAGCTGAACAACCCTAAACGTGCTCAGTCTATCGAAGATGAACTTGACATCGATGGATCTATGGAGGTAAGCATGTTTTGGCCAGGTTTCTAAACTAGGAATTATTTTGAATGAATAATAACACAATTATTGAATTCGGCTTTTGTATCATATGAAGGCCTACGGCCTCGACGGATAACACCGTCCTCGATCTCCACAATTCTTCATAGGATACTCAGCCCTATTCATTAATTGTTAATTCAGTATACTTTGCTTGATCTTGTTTTATTTTATGTTAGTGGTACAACCTTCTACAACATCACCGTCTACTTCAACCCAACCAGCTACAACAACGATTACAGCTACAACAACGATGCCAGCTACTACTACTCTACCACCGACTTCTACTCCGTTACCAACTAAAACTTCGTCTCCGACAATTCCAGGTTAAGCTTCCTTCACTATGCTAATATTCGGACCGTGCGTACCATTCTACTTTTTCAAAATTATATTACCCTTTCTCCCATCGTTAAATTTGAACAATATTTTAGGTATAGCAACAACATTTGCGGCTTTTGTCTCCCGGGTTTAGTATATCCACGCTAAACGGGTTAAGTTAAAAAAAGACAAAGGCTTCATCTGTCTTACAAACCTGAGACCAAAACTGTGCGCTAATTTTACTACAGCGGAGCATGTCCCGGAGAAAATGATTGCCATGAACACTTGAACCCTTCATATCTCAAGAACTTCAGAGGTCTGCGATATTTGTAGACATTCAAATGAATCGCGAAACGTTAATTTTGGTGCGTATTGCTGAATTAAGCTTAAAATAACTTTGGTCAGGGTTCGGTGAACACTGTGCAATAAGTTTTAAATACCATGTACATTTAATACATTTCTGTATAAGCTGAATCGTATTTGTTTGAATCTACACGCTTGTTTGTAATGAATGAAAAAATCATTTTTTTGATATGCTGTTATTCCTGTTAGGTAACTGTTTAACTTCAAAATTTTCATCTCTTTTTCTATTCTGGGTCTGTTAATTTTTTTTTCGATAACAGTATTGTCACATGACTTGTATATGTATACCGTTCAGCATACTACTTTGCCGGAATTTTTCTGTGATTCGGAATGGCATGAAAGTAACATCATTTCATATTAATATTTTCTTCCATCTTAGATTACATATTAAGTGTTTGAGGTTGGAACTTACGCCAAAGTGTATTGTTAACATAAGGATGTTCTCTGAAACTGATGCATTTGATTAGATTTGTCTTTTTTTTTTACTCCTTTTAGCTTGTGTGCCTAACCACACTGACATTCCTACATGTGTGCGATATGCAAAGATGTTTGGTTTCTGTACAAGCAGCGTCAATAGCATAAGAAAATACATGTTTCAAAATTGCGCGGTAACTTGCGGGTTTTGTAGAGGTAAGTCCCTAAAGATTTGGCATACGACTGCCTACTAATATCAAAGGGGCGGATCTAGGGGGAGGGTGCAGGGGGTGCGCACCTCCCCCTCTCCCTGAGATGACCTGCGGTTTTCTTATACAACTGGTATTCTGCAAAAAAAAATATGTGGTTTATTGGTGTTGAAGTAGAGCAAGAGACGAGTGCATCCCCTCCTAAAATAAATCCTGGATCCGCCCCTGTATCAACAAACTCAACTGCAGTAACAATGAAATCGATACAAAGCTGAACAACGTTTCTTAACAATGTCATCTAATGTTGCTATTAGCCTGAAATTCGTTTATTTCTCTGCGTTATAACTTATGAAGCTAAGAAAAGGTTGACTTTATGTGACTTTACACTAACAGCTTAATAAAGCCGGCGCGAGTGCGGACTTATCTAAAAGTTATCCATACTTAACCACTTACACGTAATGCTGGCAGTCAGTATCACTTTATTTTGGGAATTAAATTTACACTGTTATGCAACAGCTAGATCTTTGTTAAGGTTTTATGCGCTAATGTTTACTTTTTTAAGTGTGTAACAGTGTCTTAGCCTCACGCAATGCATGTTGGGTCAACATGTTTGGTCCCACTGCTATGCTGAAAGAACTTATTTGCGACGCTGCCTTGTTCTCATGAATATCAGCTTATCCTCATTGTCTTCTGAATTATTAGTTCGGCACACCACGACACCACAACAAACGACGAATCAATCAAAGACAACTCCTTATTCAAGCACAGGGGATAAAACAACTTCAAAGCCAACGACTAAGCAACGGGAAACTTTCCCGCCAGCGACACAGCAGCCGTCAATTACCTGGCCAACTATAAATATGGACCTGGAGGCTTGGAAGTCACGGTGCAACAACTATGTATCATTTTCCACAGCTCCTTCAGATCAGGCTTCGTTCCTAGACACTAACACTTTCATCCATGCAAATTTATAGTATGGATTTTTTCCCACGGTTTTCGCTGAACCTGTCACCTTTGTACATACTATCAAGGAATTGACTGATTTGGCTAGGCCGTTTTCTTGATTAAAGGTGAAATTCGCATTACAACTGGTCAGTTCAGACTTATGGAAGTAGTGCTCCAGTAAGATTCCGTTATACAAGAAACTTTAATTCATACCACACCCGGACTCGAGACAATTAAGAATACCTCTAGTGAGTCAGACGATAGCTTTGAATTTCCTGACGTTTGTTGAATTGAAAAATTACGGGTCTGGACAATCTGCGAGCCATGGGGAAAAAATAGAGTTTTGTGAAATTGTAAATGCATGAAAAATGTTTCCTGCTTAGTTCCGAGGTTTTGCTGATGGAATATTTGCAGAATTACGCAGTATTGATCGACTTTCACTGGTTAGGGTTAAGCTCTCATTGCACTAGGGTTAAGCGCTCGCTTTCGGATTAGGGTTAAGCGTTGCTTAGGGTTCAAAACTTTTTTTTGCGGATTAGGGTTAAGCGCTTTTTGGCGTTAAACACTCATTTACAACAGTTAGCTTTTTTTTGGTTCTTGTTTTTCGTATTTCTGCTTTTTCGATTTTTCCTATTTTTCTTTCGCATGGCTCGCTGGCTCGCTTTGTGTCCTAACTCCTGATTTCAGTAGATCATTTTGAGTTGTACAATTTATTTCATCTTTATTACAAATCAATGCAGGGAACTATGAAATTAAAACAAACAAGACGCTATGAAGCGTAAACTTCGGCGTCTTGGTTGTGGATTAATTGCGAATGTGGAGGAAAAGTAACGTAAGGAAAGATATTTTTCCGGATACCCCTCCATAAAAATACCCTTAGTTTTCTCCTTTTGTGTTAACGTCTTCACCGGAAGTCTGCTAGGTGCATGACCCCGTGGCTGTAATCCAATTCGATTATAATTTCTGTCAAAGATAAATTGCGCACGACGTTTCGATCAGTTTCCTATAAGACCAAAATAACTAATCGTCGAACGCCGACTGTTTGGAGTTCTGCAGCAAAACATTAACTTGCTTCTCGCCCAAATTAAAAAAAAATGCTACAAATCAACCATCTTTTACATTTCTGCTACAATCTCGTCTAGGCGATCTAACGGGGCAAAGATCATCTAGCTACAAACCGAAGGGCGAGCAAAAAATAATATTTGTTTCTTCCTCAGATAAACTTAACAACTCTAGCTGATCTCGAGATATCGAGATATCTCGAACAACTTCCGGACTCACTTCGGAAACAAAATGCAGGTTTACGACATTACTTTGCCCTCCGCCTCAAATATTTGTTTTAGCCGAAGAACTATTAGTGATCTCGCGATATCTCCAACCAGTAGCATTCTTCTGCTCCAACTCATTCCAGTGTCACTCGTGCATAACTTATGGCTATTTTTTACATCTCAGAATAACTTGCGTCTCAGTGGCGAGTCTCATCTGATCTAACGGGTCACACGTAAGCCGGTTCAAACCCTGGGCAAAACAGAAATAATTATATAATAATTATTTCTCCTTTATTTCTTCAAAAAGTAATAATTTAAAAGTCTTCCTCATATTTGGAAGCAACTTCGGGACTTCCGGATGCAACTTTGAAAGAGTCCTGAGCTCAGTGCGCGAATTCCTTTACTTCGCGGTCCGCCGAAGTAACAAAGCAAGTCATAAAACGAAGATGTTTTAGCCTAAACAAACAAACAACTGTCAAAAAAACATCAAAAAATACATTAATCGTCTAGTTATTTCTATTTGTTTGTGCGGTTAAATTTGTAACTGTGGATTCCTTTGTGCAGCAAGTAGACGGTTTTCAAATATATACTTTTAGTTCCACGATGCATTTGCGGCCGTATATTGGTTAATTTTATTTGACACTTAGAGAGTTTTCACTAACTCCCACAGCTGGCGGGATACCAACGTGGCCGCCGTTATATTGTTCTCGGACACTAATGCAAAATGGCGGACGTGACGTACATGTGAAAACAATCTGTATAGACATTAAATTTTCTGGGAAAATTTTCCAAGAAGCTCGAAACACTCGCTGCAGGCCTGATAATTGTCGCCCTTCGGGCTCGAATATTCAGTTTACCTTTAAATAATTCTGCTGTTCGTATTTTTAACAATATAGAAATCTGGTACCATTGCCTATTTCGAATGTACCTTTAGTATTGACATGATATCATTCCAGTCTTCTAGCCTCATCATTTAGCTTCTATGCTTATGTTTGTTATTCTTACCTTTGACTTCTTTATTATCGAAATAAAACGGAAAAAATAAACAGTTGAAAACAATGGAAACGCCGGTGCGTATATAGCAAATATTGTTCTGAAGTAAACTGTAGAACAATATTTGCTATATACGCACCGGCTCAGTCCATTGTTTTCAACTGTTAATTTTTTCCGTAAATGGAAGAGCCGGTCACTGAAGTGGAACAGGAGGTCGGATTTCCACCTCAGTGAAAACCAAAAATTTTCTGCTGGTTCTAGGGCAATGCAAGGGAGCATTAAGTCAGATAATAGAGACCTTTAGATAAGACGAGAACGACTACGAAAACGACTAAGAAGACGACTAAGAGAACGAGATTTTCTCAATACTTAAGTAGTGCACGCGCCTGAACCAGCGTTATTTTGGCGGGAAAACGTGATAGCCGTCGTCATTCTGCAACTACGGGTTTTAGCGAAAACATGATCGTAGTGACGGAAACAAGTTGTCAGATGTTAGAAGTTTTGAATTTTGTGATCTGGAGAGGGCTCAACTTCTTTCACTAAAAATAACTGTGTTTTGTGGTAAAAAATAGTAACATGAAGCTTTCTAAGGTGTCTAACTTTTGAGAATGTGCGGAAAAACCTTAGTCAAGTTTCGTCCTTTAATCTAAAGGTCTCCAATGCTTGAGCTCCGAGGCCTTTTTGAAAATAACGATCAAGCGTGTAGCGTAACTAAAGGTGTTATTTTTAAGATATAAAGAGTTCAAGCATTATCCGATATTAACTAAATAGTTTATTCGTTCTGATCTTAAAATTTATAGAAAACATGCGTATAATGTGCAAATTGGCAACAAGAAAATACTGCTCTGTAATGTATTGAGCAGCAAATGCAATTATTTATTGGAGATAATTGAACTTGAACCATATCAAAAATTCACGAATAGGAGCAATATTTTTTATTTATATACGTGTGAACATAAAGTCATCGGTTTTTTTAGAACCTTACTTCTTGGCGCCGACAAATACCAATCGTCCCAGTTAAAATCTGATTAGTAGAAAACTTCTCCCGAAAACATACCTTCCTACAATTGAACGCAGCGACATTAACTATGCCTTGCCGGCCGCCTTGATTTATTAAAAACCGGTGGGTACCAGTTTTTTTGTAAGACAACGCTTTGGGTCATATATTGCAATAATTAACAGGAAAGAGAACCTTGAAGTAGCTATATATTCAATTCAATGGCACACCTATTTCCATTTTTTTTTCTTTCATTTTAAGCCTTTTTTCCTTTACAATATCAAATTGTTCTAATTTTAACAGAATTTCCAGACATTTTTTTCTTGTCCATAAGAATCGCGTCCATTACACAAATCGGAAATTTGATTGACTGAGTGGCTATTTACCTTGGACATATATACATTGTTTTTTCGAAGTGCAGAAACATTCCGTTATATTAATTAAAATTTATGCAAATGTCAAGGGCGGTTCAGAACTAGAAGGATCTCTGCATAAAACTAATCTTATTAAGACTGAACTAAAACGCATTTTCTTCATCTGTCCGAGGGATGAGAAGGAACCGAAATTGACTTTTGTCAGCCCGTCAGCCAGAGATAGAGTGGATATCTCCTCAGGTATAATCTCGAGAGGCTTTCAGCCGTTAGATATATATCTTATGGTTTTTGTAGGAGATCCCTTTACTACACTGTAGTGTGGAAATGTTTGTCTTTTTCCCTCAAGAACAAACATTTGTCAGAGATTTACCTTAAAATCTAAGTGCAGTCTTGCCACTTAACAGTCATATGGTAAGAAACGTCTGATTAATTGCTATCCTCCATTAGTCAGTAGATGAACCAATTTATCATGCCTTGTTAAACGTAGAACCGGCATTATCGTTTAGAAAATTGAATAACGTTTAACATTTACATCACCTTATAAGATAATAAGAGATCAAGAGACAGGCTGTTCAGGAAGTTAGATTAAAGTTCTAATTTGCAATAGAGTGAAATGTGTTTCCTAATTATTAAAGAAACTCTGCTGAGTTACAATGTTGTCGTTCAGAATTTGTTATTAAGCTATAAAAGTTGTAATCAATAGATTATATGTATTGCACACGTATTGTTTTAATCTATAAATTTTTATCGACATTCAGATTATTTCTAACGTAGCAACATTGGTGTACATTCTTGTTGTTGTTGTTGTTGTTGTTTTTTTTTTTTTCGATTCTTAAGCGACATTTTCTTTAGCGTTGTTCAGGTTGCCTTCGAGAGAAGGATACGAATTCGCAAAATTTATTGCAAATCTCGTATACTGTGATTTTTGGACCACTTAAACACTACTTAAATCAGAATATTTATATTTTGTTTCACGCAAATTTCTAAATATTGTAATACAACGAGCAAACACAAGTAATTTCTAGAGTTTATTCCAACTAATTCGTATTCCGGAATACGGTCAATCGAACACGCCCTAGTTTGTTCATTAGATCACTTGTAAAGTTGTGCCGGGTGATATAGAGCGGTTTTCGTATGACCTTGAAATATGGATTCAGTCTAAAGTGTTTGTTATTTGTTTCATCAGCTGATAGACGAATAGATCAAAACATGGACTTGTTTTTGCAAGATAAAATTCTAAGATGGAAGAAAAGCATCCTTCGATTTTCCATATCGCATTGCTGAATGCACAATGACGTCAAAGCAAAGTATCCATAGATTGGCTAGAGTGCGTTCCATTGGGATGACCTGCATCAGGATCAGTGATCCGAAATCACTCACGGATCATGAGGCATCAAATAAACCAGCGAATCCACTCTGGGAAAAGATTCAATTGTTTTTCTTGCATGATCCGAGTGATCTTAGATCAGTGATTCTGATCTGGATCATCCCAAAGGAAGGCACCACTACTCGCTGAAAAATTCCACGGACGTTTGTATTCGTCCGATAAAACATCAACCGAATCAAATCAGTCTACATTCAAACCCTTCTTTACGGACACCTCATTATTAGACACAGTTTGCTTTGTCCCTGGGGAAAAAAGCCCTTACGTTTTCTCCATAAAATTCAACCCGCTTAATTCTGACATCCCCTTAATAAGGACACGTTCCAAAGCCCCCTCAGTGTCCTTATTAATGGGGTTTGACTGTATTAAGTTCCTTTCTTGTTTTTGTTTTGTTCGCGCATGATCATTTCAAAATTATGCGAAAATCACTCTACTATGTTAAAACGTGTGATTATTGGGTTAAATCTTTTACCTGTTTCACGAAAAAATTAAGTCATGCTTTATTTTGTTTAATTTTCTCAGAGAAATATGTACATTTTCTTCTTTGGTCTTTCCATGTTTGCTTGTCAAGTCGTTCACATTAAAGCACAAGTAATTCCAGGTACGTACTACGTTTCGATTTGATTTTGCTAAGGCGCAAAAATATTATTCAGCCGTACTCAGCTTTGTCGACTCATAGAGGTCTTATATCCTGCATTTTCTTCTCCATATTTTTCAATAGGTCAAGCTGTATGCATTCATTTAGTTGTTTTAGTTTAAAAGAAAGATAACAAGAAATAATAATAATAATAATCACTGATGAATAATGGTAAAGCAACGTCGCTCATGTTGTTTTGTTTCCTAACATATTACTTTTACGGTGCTAAATAGCCGGTTTGCCACTCTTTAAAATTTTTATAAGACAAATTGTTTTTCCTATCTCTGATTATCCTTTTAATCACAACAACTGTCTGACCACGCAGAAACGACTTTGCTCGATTAAACTTTTAAATAATTAAGGAAACGTATCGTGAACGACGAGAAAAGCAAAAACCTGGTCAAGTGGCAAAGGTTATGTTTGGTGTTTGCCACAAGCGTGATTCTATAAACTCTCCAAGAATGCCTATAATTTAGCGGAAAATTTGTCCAGCTGCTTAAAAAAGCCAACATCATCGATCTTGCGGTACTCGATTCATTTTGATATTGATAAGTCTACGTTTCTAAAGCCTTTTGGGAGGTAAATTGGATAAAACTCCGGCAAAAAAATGGAGCCCGGAAGCGTCTCGAAATCGAAGATCAACAGCGTCAGGATCAAGCGCTTACCGTTACGGCCTGTCATGTTGGTTTCAAATTCACCGAGCGGACGCGTACGGATGTCAGGGTGGGAGAAGGAAGGCGAGAAAAAGAGGGACTATTCTCTCTGGGAACTCCGCAATAGAATAGCCTTAACTCTTTACGTAACACTAGTTCACCGTGTATAGCCCGTGACTTGCTATCCTGTACGTGTCTCCGCGATGTCAAAGTCAAAAGATCAAAAAAGTGGCATTCCCAGTAGTCCTGTTTGCCTAATTGGGTTATTTTGGTTCATTCTGGGCCGATGTAACTGAGAAAGGACTTAAATTTGCGATTGTTGAGGTCAGGGCATACTATTCTTGACGGGCAGATCTAGAGGGCATTAACGACGACATGATCTTCGCAGTTCAAAATTTTAAAGCAATTTTAACAGTCGAGTTGCAAATTACTTCCGAGTTTGACTAATAGTCGCGGGTCGCGGGTCCAAAGTCGCGGTCGCGGGTCTAATGTCGCGGTCGCGGGTCCAATGTCGCTGTCGCGGGTCCAAAGTCGCGGTCGCGGGTCCAATGTCGCGGCAGGGGAAAATGATTTGGGGTTCGAGGTAACAGGTGAGTGAAAACGACTGATATGAACTGATATAAAGGGAAAAACTCTTTTTTATGCACGATACTCCACGGTAGCCAATTTACAGGTTACGGATGTTAGAGTCAACAAAATAATGTCTCAAGAAAAGACCTAAAAGAAAAAGCTGGCCGACTACTGTGTTCATCGCAAGTTTATTTTGTTTTCTTTCTATCGGGCCCAGTTATACTTATGCATAACAGTATCTGATAAAAAAGTTACCATAAGTTACCATTGCTTTTTTCTTGTCGATGAATTGCTCACAAATGCCTAGGGGTTCATTTACTGAAAAATATGCGATACACTTCATAGACTACAGATTATAAACGTTACAACAACTTAAAGCCTTTTTTTAAAAAAAGCGAACTCGGGCTCAAAAAGCTACGAGTCTGTCGGTAGAAGAAACGAGAACTCCTATATTTAACAAATGTTTTCGACAAAACTGAAAGAAAATGTAAATAGTCACATGAAACTTCATTCAAGCGGTATTCAAGGTATGAATTTAATATGGCAACAAGTAATAATCCACAGAAAGGAGTCTGTTCCTCGAAGCAAGATTTTCGTTTAATGCTTTTCTTTTTACAACTGATACGGCAACCCAGAGTGTTCAATATAACTTCTTGTTCTCTTCACCTAAATAGCAACCAGGACAACCTGACAATAGGAAGCCATTCAATGTGCGTCTCAGTCAAATCTTGAAAACATATATCGTAAATAACCAAGTGAGTAAGTAGATAAGGAAATAATAACGCCCGATATCATGAAGCTGAAAAAGAAAGTAAACCAGACACTGAAAACGGTAAGTTATCAACTCCACCAGAGCTAAGAAAAGACAATAAATTAGGTAAGTAATTCCAGATTCCAGGTACTGGATTCAAGTCTTTTTCAGTAGAACCAAGAGACTATGATCTATTCTGTCTTGGTAGAACTTGGATTCCGGATTTCAATCGTTAGTGGGAACAAACTCCTTTCTGTGGACAAGAGAGGATAAAGCTCGAGCTTTATCCCCTCTTGCTGTGGATTATTACTTGTTTCTATATTAAATTCATGCCTTGAATACCCGCTTGAATGTACTTTACCGGCACTTCAAGCCCAACGTCTCTCCTCCTCTTTCCAGTTACTTGTGCAAAGCGTTTATTTTGGGAGTTTGCGACCAGGAAGTTTTTCAACAAGTGTTTTCTTTATTTTTGCCGAAAACATTTTTTTAAAATTGAAACAGTTCTCGTTTCTTCTGCCTACAGACTCGTAGCTTTTCGAGCCCGAGTTAGCCTTTTTTTAAAAAGGTTTTAAGTTGTTGTAACGTTTATAATTTATAGTCTATGAAGTGTATCGCACATTTTTCAGTGAATGCACCCCTAAGAATTTGTGAGCAATTCATAGACAAGAAGAAAACAATGGTGACTCATGGTAACATTTTTTATGAGATACTGTTATGCATAAGTACATTCCAAGCTGAATTTATACATAACTGGGCCCGATGGAAAGAAAACAAAATGAACTTGGGGTGAACACAAAAGTCGGCCAGCTTTTTCTTTTACGTCTTTTCTTGAGACATTATTTTGTTGACTCTAACATCCGTAACCTGTAAATTGGCTACCGTAGAGTATCATGAATAAAAACGATTTTTTTCCCTTTATATTTTTTTCATATCACTCGTTTTCACTCAGTTACCTCGAACCCCAAATCATTTTCCCCTGCCGCGACATTGGACCCGCGACCGCGACTTTGGACCTGCGACCGCGACATTGGACCCGCGACCGCGACATTAGGGAGCTTACGAAACGAGGAAGACGACGGCTACGAGGACTTCATTTAAAAATACAAGTTCGCGTTATTCATATCACAACGAAGCTATTTCATGTCGTTTCGCGTTAAAAATGTGTAGTAACTTTCGAGGAATTAAACTGGTATGAGTGGGTTAGAAGCGTACAGAGAGAACTGAAAATTCGTCGTCATGTGCTAAAGTCCTCCCCGGAACCTTGAATTTGGTCATTTCACGTCGTCATTTAGGAGATGACGGCAAAGAAATGTACCACAATGTAAAACGCACGTGCAGAGCGTGCAAAGCCATTGTTTTTGCTCACTAAACCTATTGTTTTGTAGCGTCGTCATTGCCGTCGGCGTCGTCGTTTCGTAAGCTCCCTATTAGACCCGCGACCGCGACTTTGGACCCGCGACCCGCGACCCGCGACTATTAGTCAAACTCATTACTTCCCTAAACACGGTGGGCAAACAAGACGCCAAAAGTGGCCACTTCGGAGCTACTTTTCCATTTTTTATCTGTTTGAGCTTAAAGTTTGCAGGATGGTAGAACGTTGTATTCCAAACAGTCGTATGTTGTTTGTTTTTCAATTTTAACGGTTTTGGGCGGAAAAAATGACGTCACAAGTTTGACAGCAAAATTAAATTTCAACTAATGGCGTAACAAATAGGTAATTTTGAAAGAGGGTGGTGAGATAGAAACAAATGTGAAAACATTTTTTGAAAAACGCAATTGCTATAGTGGATACAGTATTTCGAAATTAAGTATGCTTTTGTTTCTAAAAGTAGTAACAAAAGGGCGGGAAATTA